GGTATCCCAACATCGAATTACCCTCACCCTCACCCTCATCCTCTTATTTCTCTCTAACCTCTCTCTCTATCCACGAACCACATGGAGGCGACGCCATCACCGGCGCGGTTAACATCACATCGTCGACCAGCAACAGTACGATGTGGACTTGACCCTGCCAATTTGTTGAACGCATACCCCGTTTGCCGCACTGAAATGCAAACACACACAAACGAAGTGAACGATGGCGTCATCCTTGTGTTTGGAGATCTGAGGGCGGTGGCGTCATCTTTAGCATCACGATGTAGCAGCTTAGGGTATTTTCACCCGTTGTGGTTTTCAGTAGCGATAGTGTAATATATCTTCTTTTGCGGTGGTTTTCATGCCTGGGTGATGGGGGTGCTGTAATGGTGGGATGTTGACGGTGGTGGTGAATCCGCTGAGGGTGAGGGGGTGGTTTTGATGCTGCTTATGGTGGTTTGGGATGGTTTTGACTTTGAAGTGATGGTTTTGTTGGATATGGTGGTGACTGATTTTTGTTGGTGGCAGTGGCAGTGGATATGACGGTTGGGGCGGTTTTTCTTGAATATGGTGGTGGTGGTTTGGTTATGGTGCTAGCCTCTGTGGTGATGTTGTTAGGTTATATTGATGGTGGCGCGGCGCGGCGCAGTGTGGTGCCAATGGTTTTGTCACTTGTATTACACGTGTTTCTAGTGAGGTGGTGTACATTTGATTGTCGATGGTAGGAGTGGTGATGAGTGACCAAATCTATTTTTATTGTAACTGCCTGTGACCAGATTTGTGTTAATCATGACTGTATATGACTTGGCTATATATAGTCACAAATTAGATTAACATGGTCACAGACAGTCACACCGAAAATAAAATTGGTCGTGAACACATAATGTCACAGTTCATACGTTACGGGTCAAAATTCGCAATTAAGGTCACAGGTTTGAGTTCACAAGTCACAGTCATTTTATGTAAGTCACAAATTAGTATAAACGGGTGACAAATCAATATTAACAAGTCACGTGTCGTTTTATAGAAATCACAGATTAAATTTATAGGTCACAGGTTTGAGTTCACAAGTCACAGTCATTTCATATAAGTCACAAATCAGTATAAACGGGTGACAGATCAATATTAAGGGGTCACATGTCGTTTTATAGAAGTCACAGATCAAATTTATAGGCCACATTTTATATTACTAGTCACAAGTAACAAATCACAGGTTGAAAATCATATTTTATATCTCACAATGTACACAAGTCACATGTTATTGTCAAGAAAAAAATTGCGAATTTAATATATTTAATTACAAAAATATTTTTTTGATTAATTATTTCATAACTAAATTTGATTTTTGAAATTTCAAACTTTTTTTCATAATTTTGAAATTTATCATATGCATATTCATCTCACCTGATTAGGTCACAGATTCAATAAAATCGATCACAAATGACAATGTGCACAGGTCACAGATTTAATGCAACTGGTCACAAGTCAATGGCCAATGAGTGGTCATCGGAATAGTCGTCGGAATAGGATAAGTCACCGGAGCCATCGCCAGAAAGTCGTCGAAATTGTCCCCGGAAGTCAACTGAGCCGTCCCTGGAAGCTGCCGGAGCCATCGCCGGAGAAGCTGCCGTCGCCATCTTCAGAAGTTGTCGAAGGTGAGGTGGGATGGAGAGATAATGAGAATGGTTTAATGTGATGGGTGGCTGGGTTGAAGGTGAGATAGAATAAGTAGATTAATTATATTATATAATCATTAAATATTTAATAAGTTTAATTATCACCTTATTTTTGAAATTTTTTTATAAGTTTGTTAGTTTTGAAATGTGATTTTTAATTGAAGGATTTATGTAGTCTTCCCAAGAAACTAAATAAGAGGCCCATAGGAACTGGGCACTTATATCCTTGGATTAAGGGATAAAATGGGCCTACAAGAACATTGCGTATATAAGGTTGTTACAAAATACAATTTCAAAATTAAGAAATTGGTTTTATTATTTCAAAAGCATGTCTTAATTAGATTTTATAAATTAAATATATTGAACTTACAGTATTATACAATTTATGGTTACGGATACGTACTAGTCACAATTATACACGTCACAAAATTACAAATTTCATAAATGACAATTTCTTTATCAGTCATATATTATGAAATTAGTAGGCCATGTATTATTTTCTTATCACAAATAATAAAATTTATAAGTCACAACTTATTTTACAGCCATAATTATCAAATTAATTAATAACATATTATTTTTCAGTCACAAATCACAAAGTTTATAGATCATAACTCATTTTATAGTCATAAATTATCAAATTAATTGATTACATATTATTTCTCGAACACAGATCACGACTTTTACAAGTCACAAGTAATTTTTCAGTTATAAATTATCAAATTAATCGTTCGTAACTTAATAAATTGCAAGTCACAATTATAAATTTAGTTCCAATCTCAATTTTTTTGCAGATGACAAATTTCAAGCGAAATTTCAATCGATTAACAAATTTCAAAATGTCTCAATTAGATCGGTAAATTTTAAATTCCATGCCGAATTTTATCACTTTGTCACCTAATTTACCTAAAGTGATCATAACGGTTCTGGGTCGGACATATCCTATAGCGTGAAGGTGGGACAGAGAGAAATTTTGTTGCAATTCAACTGCACACTTATAAGGTTAGTGCTAGACAACATGAGGAGAGGAGATGATATCATTTGGTTTGTCCCAATTCTTGTACAACTTTTTTAATGCTTACCCTTTTTAGTTACTTTTCACTTCCAAAAATTGTCAATTCTAGTATTTCGTCTGTATATATTGATGTTCAATTGCGAGTTAATGGTCGGGTCAAGTCAAGAATCTAATACGCGGTACCTTAAACTTTAATATTACGAATAGAAAATGAAAGAGCGTGTGTGCGTGAATGCGCATCATCTGGACCAACTATAAACAGTTAGAAAGAAGTTTAATGCCATCATTTCTTCCTGCGCATGGAATTCTGGAAAGTGAACAGCTATACAAAGACATATGGGCCTTTGTTCATGCCCAATAAAATCATAATCCATCATATCATCTCAATTATAATGCTTTTAAACACTGATAATCACAAATCCTGCTAAAGAATGATGAATATTTGCCGTGAAGATTATGAAAATTGTTTAATTTCTTCCAAGGATCCGTTTGATCGTAAGAATGAAATTTGGATTGAAAAAAAACGAATTTCAGGGAATTGAATCCAGAATTTGTTTTATTGAAAATTGTCAATTAAGTGTGTGTGATTAGTATATTTTTTTACCAGAAAAATATTGAATTTTTTTTATCTTTTGGTATTAATTTGGCTTTGTTTTTCATGAAAATTGTCAATTAAAGGGATAGAATTTATTTTGATTGCCAAAAAAAAAAAAACTTGAAAATCCACCAAATCAAATAAAAAGGGTTCACATGGTGTGGGACGGGGACGGGGACCGGGACCGGGGAGGGGAGGGGGTTATATCAATTGCCAAGAAAATTATACCAATGAAATAAGGAAAAAGGTGGAAAATGAAAATTTCCCATGAAAAATTTATTGTATCAAAGAGGGCCTAATTTTAAAATTAGGGTTTAACTAGATGGATAATAATGGAAGAAAAACAAGTCAAAAGATCAATGAATTAATCTAGTATATAGTGTTTTATTTACGCTTACTATCAATTGAATCACGAGTCAATATGAACATATTTACCGAGAGTATATTGGGTCTTGACATAGTTAAAAAAAATAAAAAGATACGTTAAAGAATTCTCTATTAGTTACCAACAAGGACGGACCTAGGAACATGATTCAGTGGGGCCTAGAAAGAGTTGTGTAAAAATTATGGATTAAAAACTTAAAATTATGTTGGCTACTTCGTAAATGTCAATAATTAAAAAATTGCACCCATTGGGCCTTTAATGGGTCCGTCCCTGGTTACCAAGTCAAAGATATTCTTGACCAGACAATATAAGAATGTCGAGGAAACCAACTTAGTCTGGCAAGTAGCGAGGCTCTTGATTAAGCAACATCTAATTGAGACTTGCACAATGGACCATCAAGCACAATCCCTCTCCTCAAAATGAACATAATTCAGCATATGAGATTGTGTAGAGAAAAGCACGAAAGCTTTCAATGCATAAAAAAATAACATCAAAGTTATCTATTAACCATATACTTTTATTAGAAGTATCTTCTTTCACATATTTAAAATTTGATTCGAACCCTGCAATGAACATACCAATCATAGCAAATTCTTATGTCAAAAAGATGCAGCCCTGTTTGTCACCCATTATATCACATTATTTTTTTTACAGTGCACATTTTTAACCACATATTCTTCATTAAAATAATATTACACACAAACCAAAAAAATTTCCTTCTTTTTTAATTACATATCTTCTATCAATCTACTATTCCACAATACATTTTGAAAACCTAAAGGGGCTCAAACACACCCGTAATGAACCAAAAGAAATTGACAGAGAATCATTCTATTCTCTTTGCCTTCTCAGCATAACTAACATTTCTTTTCCACCTTTAAGATCTTGCAACCATAATAATAAAGACTCACCAATGACAATGTAGTATTTGTGAGAGAGAGGGGGGGGGGGGGGGGGGGGGGGGGAACAAAAAAAATTGGGGGGGGAATGTATCAACTAAATTATACAACAAAAATAAAGCAGCATAAAACCTGTCCTCTTGCTGCCTCAACTTGCATTAATGCAGTGCTTCCCCTTGAGGCCCCCATCAATTTTCCTTTTCACATATGATTGTCCCCCACCTTTCAATATCAAAATCATCTTATTCTTTCTTTTACTTTTCTCCTATAATTAAGGTATATGGCATAGAATAGAGGGTAGTCGCGTACCCACCTGTTCGTCCCAGTACTCACACGAAAACGGAGAAAGTAACACATAATCAATTTGTTTGAGGTTCACTATAAAACTCCTCCTCCTCTCTCTCTCTGATTTTCATTCTCAAGCATAATATAGAACAAAAAAGCCAAAGTATCTGACTGTCAGTGTGTGAGATAAGAGAGAGATAATCTTCAATGGGAAATTACAGGTTCAGATTATCAGATATGATGCCAAATGCCTGGTTTTACAAGCTCAAAGACATGAGCAAAACCAGAAACCATAACACAGTCAACAAAAAGATGCCTTCACCAACCAAAACAGACCAAAAGCCACACTTTTTACAGCCAAGAAAATCCTACTACTACACCACAGAATCCATCAGAGTCGAAAAACTCTATTCTTCACCCAAGAATCCGAAAGCCTCAGATCCACCAAGGAAATCATCAAAGAAAAGAACAAAGCGAAAGACTGTGTACAAGCCTTCTACAAGACAAATTAGCCCTTCTGTTTGCAACTATCAAGAGTCAGAGAACTCATTCAGGCAAAAGGTCGAACAGTTTCAGGACTATTTTGAGTGCTCTACTGTCAGTTCTACTGACATGGATTTCCTTAAATCTCCCACATCTGAATTTGACTCTGACACCCTAGATGCTCCTCCATCGGTAAATGGACTTGCATCGTTGTCGAGTTCCTGCAGTTGTACTTTAAATTCTTCGGGTTCTGATATCATCATGGACATGGATGAAAAGCTGCGTGCATTTGAAATTGAAGAAAAGAACGAATTCTTCAACATGATATCAGAGCCAAAACTTTCCCCAATTCTCACAAAACCCACTAAATTCAACACCATGCAGACATTTCCAGAACAAAATCCTTCCCAGATCAGGGATTCTTCATTCTCCTCTGAAACCGAAACTCAATGTAATCATAAACAAACTCCCACAGGCCGAAAATCTACGTCGCGTTCACCAGGAGTGAGGATCCGTGGCAATTCGCCAAGACTAGCAAGCAAGAAAATCCAAGGGAACCGAAAGAGTGTATCAATGAGCAGACGTTTAAAGGCACAGCAGCAGAAGAAGGAATCATACACCGAGAGCGTTGCAATTGTGAAAGCGTCATTTGATCCTGAAAAAGATTTCAGGGAATCCATGATGGAAATGATAGTTGAAAACAATATCCGGGCATCCAAGGATTTGGAAAATCTTCTTGCTAGTTATCTTTCTTTAAATTCAGACGAATATCATAATCTTATTATAAAGGCGTTTGAGCAAATCTGGTTCAACATGCCTCATCTTCAATCCTAGAATTTTCAGTTTCATCACTTCATGTAATTCTATCTTGTAATTATACATAAAAGTATTAAGATCTTTCCTAGTATTCTTATCTCTTTAGATCCAAGTAAATAAAAATTTCAAATAAATAAGTGATTTATTTCGGAATAGCCAGGGATTATTAAAAGTTTTTTACACAACTCATCCTAATTAGGTAGATAAGTCAGGCTGGGAAGGCAAGTAAATGTGCTTTCAAGCTTGCATTTCCATTGCTTTTCAAAAGTATATCTTTCATGAAAAAGTAAACTTTAGGTGGTAGTTGATGCAAGACCAAGCAAGATGGGCCCACTTATGCATGAGACACCGGTGAAATTATTATTATTAATCGAGTAAGTTTGTGTGGAAAAATAAGTACTTTTTTGCTTTCATGAAAATAAGTTATTGCACACTCATAATTTTGTACAAATAGGATTTGGAAAGTCAGCTTAAATTTCGATGAAAATAAGATAATTTAAATAAATTGTTGACAACTTTTTATTTACATATTTATTTATTATTAGTGGCATGACAAGTAGTACGGTAAGAAGATCAATTTTTGTTGATCCAAAAGTCATGTTGGAAAATTGGTTTAGATTTTTAAATTTTAATTACACATAATAATAATAATAATAATAATAACTATAGCACCACTGACATCAATTTAGGTTACTATACTTTATCAATTAAATGAATCGGGTGAGTTTGTCATAAATATATTATTTAATATCATGTAATTATTGCTTAGAGCTTGTTTGGTACAGTTAAAAAGTCAATTGAAATTAATTTTTTAATTGTTATTTTACTATTATAGTCGTCATTTTTTAAACAGGTTAGACTCATTTTATCTTTAACGATCAAAAAATCAATTATCAAAATCCCTACCAAACAAGCACTTAGATTGGTGCTAAGCACCAATGTTGATAAATAACATAGTACTAAATGAAATTTGATAGTATCTTTGTAGTATTATCTTATTCAATAATGCAAATTAAACATGCTCTTTATAATATATATATATTTTTTTATCTTTATAACTTTTAAGCCTTTAAAGGAACTCATTGTTTGAGATTATAAACGAATTGACAAGATCTTGAATTAAATAAAAATTATGTGTTGCCCTTTTTCATGAAAAATGTCTAATAATAAAATTGAAATTTGGCATGATCCTATAGCTGGCCATGGCCTTGAAAGTTTTCTCTATTCTTTTGTATTTTCTTTTCCTTAAATAAATAAGAAATAATAATTAAAAAATTCAAAACATCATCCCGTGTCTGAACTGCAAGAAACAAATCAAGACATTCAAGCACGCCACACAGCCATCTGAAAAAAAGAGATTGGACCAAATACATGTCTGAACACAATAACTTTGAACAGTTCGACCGATTTTTATACCTCTAGTTTAAGCCCCTCTTTGGTATCGATTAAAATCTATATTTTAATTTAAATTAAAGTCAACAATTCATTTCATAGACGAAGGAAAGGGAGGACATTATTGGGCTACATAGCCCAAGTCCATGTCCAATAAAAGTCCCAAAAAAATATTGAAATATTTTAATTTTAGTCCATTAACCCACCAACCATTAACCAACCCACCACAATTTGTATAATCAATTTCTTATTTTATACTTGGTTATGTTATGATTTTTTAATTATGTAATGTTTATGGTTTTATACATTATATTTATGATTTTTAATTGTTGCAAACTTTTAGTATTTAATGAATTTTCTGTTCAAATTTGTTTACAAGCATTTGATTAATTTGTTTTTAAAGTATTGAAACAAGTTTAACAATTCGTCTAATTACTCGTTCACGTTGTCAGCAACAAATTATGTAAGCACTAAATAGGCATTTGATTAGTTTGTTTTTAAAGTATCGAAACAAGCTTAACAATTCATCTAATTACCCGTTTATGTTGTCGACAACAA